TGAATAAAAATTCATTATGTGTAGCATCGACGTTTTTTTTTATTTGTTGGTTTGTCGAGTTGAAAATCAGAAACTAGGTAACCTGCCATGTTGCTTGTTTAACTTTCCACAAACAATAATTGCAAAAGAGACACAAAAATGTCTGAAGCGACCTGGAACGACAGCTTAATAAATGAAAAAAAAACAGAAATTGCGTAACTCATCACAGAAGCATTTTCTTGGGAGGTTTTACAGTGTTTTCATCATTTGTTTCTAAGGAAGCATCCTTTCCGGCTTTATATCAACAGGAGGCCAAGGCATTGCGAAATCAGGATATGGACCTCAAAATCCTTACTGCAACAGGATTACGTGCAACTGCTTACGTGGGAGGAGGGAAAGGGTGTAATCAATAGACAGTTGTTTTTTCCTCAATTTATATTTCTCTTTTTTTTCTCTCAATAATGCCTCATTCGTTCTAATATTTATGACCCAAGACTAATTAGAATTAAGAGCATATGAGGTGAAAAAGAAATTGTATAATACAATTCACTATTTCCAATGGCTTAATCTGCTAATGTCTCCCATATTACATTCTGATTTTTTTAAATGTGATTCCTGATTAACAACATACGTACACGCTAAGCGTTATCTTCTTTTAGTATTGACCTCGCGGACATGGCCTTCAACATGATGGACGTGGAGGGAGTCGAGTGCAGGAAGCGAGCCGTGTGTGAGTTCAGGAAAGCGGCTTCAGGGATTCCAGTCTTCGGGAGAATGGTGGAAAACGCCAGGTAGGTGGAGATGCTTGCCGTTAGACTGCTGTTCTCTCATTTTTAACTATATCTTCATCATAATCGTCACCATCATGACACTTTGTACTTTAATGAATTGATCTAGGGTGTTGATAATTGAAGGAAATCCTTTCTGATTCGATATAGTAAATTACCCTCGTAGGAATGTCATTACCAATGGGACTGAAAAGTGCAGGGGCAAAGAGCTGAAAGCCCAGTTACAAACAGAGGCTAGATGTGGATGGGCTCTACTTTTTTTTTTTTTTTTTTTTGGGGGGGGAGGGTTGTTCGGTACACCTGGTTAAGAGGCTTGAACATAGCTTTTCTCTTATACAGAAATACACAGCCAAATTTTACCCTGTGCAAACTCCACCCTATATAACCTTGCCTGCTTAATTTCCTGCAAGCTGTTTATGTCCTTGCTTATCCCAACAGCTTCCACTGATCACGGTAGTGTGATGTCATGAACGTATAGGTTCTTAGGCTCAACCTCAACAAAGTCATTGCCGGAATAAGGTTTTATTTGTTTTCACACCACAGTAACAGGGGTTTTAAGGTAGTTTATCAGTCTCAAACTCTGTTATGTTTCTTTTATTAATTATTAATACTAGGACTTATGCAATGCAGACCGGACAGTAACTACTGAACCGCAACCACAAAGGCCACCCTAACTTGACTTGTCTAAGCCTAAAGTAAACACTTCATTTCCAGGAAGGAGAAAGGTTCATGTTACTAGGGTTATAGCACTGTGGGAAAGATCACTAGCCCGTCACTGAACCCCCTTAATCGGGATTTACATCAAATTTACCTAACACTGTGGCATTTTTTTAACAATAGATTTCAGCTACCCTTAATGATACAGAAAATTGCTTGGGTAATGGTATTTCCAGTGTAATTAATGACTTTGAGACTAACATTATCAGGATACTGGTAGACTGCATTTAATAACTTCAGCAGATGCAAACCACTCGTTAATTAAATCAAAATTCATAGACTGATTCGTTAATCTAGCTAAAATCAATAATTGAGATAAGTGTATAATTTATGATTGCGTACAAATGTACTAAAAGGACCACAGTTTCTTCTTCAAAAGCTGAAGACAAAACAATCTAATGATATCTTTCGACCATTCGATTAAAATATACCTTAATGTAACAAAACGAACTCATTAGGAAATAAATACATCATTGAATATCAAACACCACCATTACACATTACCTTCATAAATAGTCATACAACATTCCTTATCAAAATCGCCTTTTCCCACGATCGCTTTCCCCCCCAACAGTTCCTTCGTCAGTGGCATGGAGAAGTACAGAGACGCCCTAGACTCAGGAGCCGCTTTAGAAGACTGTAACGCCATCTATAAGTGTATTTATTCTTCCGCGGGATCTTCAGCCAGGAAGAAAAGGGATGTTTCTCCTTCTTGGATCAAGTTATTCTGAAACAGCGGAAGATCGTGGAATTATGCCAGTGGCTGAAGTGTCATCGGATTCTTCTTATCTTTTTCATTGCAGAGAAATGTTGTAAAAGACAACGGTTATTTTCTTTTCATTCTCCTTTAGAAAATAAATAAGTAAATGCACATCTCAGTCACGAATGGATGAGATTTGTTATATCAGTATTAAAAAAAATCAAGGAGTCTTCGCGTTCGGAAAATGATTAGCAATAAGAAACAAATATTTTTCTAAGAAACACACAAACATGTATATACAAATAAACATACAGGT